CCGTAATGCAATTATGCACAAGTGTGACGTCACCATCTGTGGAAGGGTTCATTATGCATAAGTATGGCTTTACGGTTTATGCTTCTTCTCTCCTCCTTTGTCTGTCAGAGACTGATAATAAGGTAGATGAAACGTGCACATGAATGTGTTAAGCGTGGATGTCTCCCATGGGGGTAAAAAAACCAACCAGAGTTAGCAGTATAGCCAAAAACTGGACTAAAATTCACAAAGGTTAAACTGGCCTGCTGCATAAAACTGCTGGCATTTCCCTTTAAAAGACAGATCTAGTGTTTTCAAAGTGGGCCAATGGGTTTCTGCTTGATAACAGATGGTGTTCACTCTACAGTGGCAACAAACGTTCATTAGAAATGAGTGTGGTGACATATTCCAGCGAAAAGAAATCAAAAACATTATTTGGAGCCACAACTGTTTAACAAAAGAGTGAGTTCATTCATTCCTTTTCCCGCTCATCTCGACCCTACTCAATGTTTGTTGCCTTTCCCACCATTCATCTGGCACAAGACAGGAAACCAGGCTGAAGGTTGTCATTCTATCACACAGTTGATAGAGTCAGACAGTCACACATACTCCTAGCTAGGTATGTCAACTTCAAGAAGGAATTTCACTCGACTTACATGTGGGAGTAGCAGTGAAAGAACATGCAATCTCAGTGGTGTATAGAGAGAAACTCCCAACCCTGTAAAGGAGAAATGACAGGGCTATCTGCTGAGCAGCACCACCCCTTGTTAGACATTGTATGCTCTAATGTTAGTGCTGAAAACTGGGAGTGCAGTGACATTGCTAAAAAGGAGTCAGAAGTCAGATGATCAGGTTTTAAACATTGTATTTGGAAAAGAAAACAATTGCAACAGGAAACTGTAAAATTATGACCCAAATGTTTCACTCTAAGACCTAAGACCACCTTTCTCTTAGAAATTGTGCACATATATCAATAATTTCTTTTGCCAGTTACGTTTTGATAGGAACGTATTAGCTGCGTGTACTGTGCACTGGCAACGTGTAGGATATGCTACAGTTTGGTGCCCCATGCAAGTCGAAGGGAGGTTGCTCAGAGTACTTTTCTTGTGCTTTATCTTTTTCAGTATTCAACAAAGTCTATGCAACCTCCCTAACCTTAACCAAATGCTGTGAGTGCCTAAACATAGCCATAAAAAAAAAAAACATTATCATGCTTAATTGCTAATAGTGAATATTATATTGCAAGAGATTGTGCTGTAGGAAAATCAAATGAAATACCTTGTCAGTAAACATTTCACTGATAAGCTCAAGACTTTGCAGACACGTTCATTTACATCATTTTCTCATTATGTTGATAGAAAATGTAATTCAGTTGGCATCACATTTCTTACAGAACCTATTTGCTGTCGCCTAATTCGTTGTATATAAATGTAAATTCCAGGGGACAGGATTGCAACGATGGATTATTACAGTCCAGGCGTGTACACTTTTTGTTTTACCTACAGAAAATGGTTTAGATAATGGAGGTAAATTGCTGGCTTACAGCCTGTCTGATCATCTGACTGCTTGTGTTTTGTTTTGTTTTTTGTTTTCTGTTTCTTGCCCCATCTTACTTTGTTGTAGGAATCTCTCCACGTTCTCAGATGAAAGCAGTCACTTTGGTAAGTACAGTGTTATCATAAGAGACAGATGTAATGGCCAAACTATGACAATATTATGTTAAGGAATATGGATGAACAAAATCTATAATTGACACAGCACATCTGAGAAAATTCTGCAAAGTGATACATTACTCTGTGTGTGTGTGTGTGTGTGTGTGTGTGTGTGTGTGTGTGTGTGTGAAAGATGAGCTACAGCTGTGGGAGATCAAGTAAATTGTACTGATATCTTGACAGGCTGGTCCCTGTGTTCATCATGTGCAGGCAAAGGCTTGAGAACAAAGACCTCAAAGAGCTAATAGTAATACAATGAGGAGAGTTGTATTTTCAGTGACAGGGCCAGTTTATTGCAGTGGCAAACTGTCCTAAACTGCTCCTCCCACTGTGATTTTAAAATGCTTTCCTTTCATCTAGACGATGAAGGAGGTACAAAATAAGTGTTTTGCCATTTGCAATAAAAGAAAGTTTCTCTTTTTAATGGCATGGGTATAGCCAAGTGGGGAGTGCACCTTGCTGTTCATCTCCTGCATGCGAGTGTGAGCTGTCTGGGTGATGGCCATTATGGTTCCTGCTACTGCCTGTGCGTCCGCTCCGCCGGGATCACTGAAGTGTTGGAACTAACAAGCTTGGGATGCAGACAGCGGATGCACAAATGGGATTTTGTCCTGAAAGCTTTAGAGTTTGCTCCCTGTCTTCAGTAGAAACAGGAGTGAGGATGGTGCCGTATATGTGGGGACGGTCTTGAGTTATGCGCCACCAGAATAAGATGATTACATCTGATAATCTTGCTAATGATCTACACTAGGGAGGAGAGCACATAAAATTGAATGAGCTACACCGATGTACACAGTTTTTAGTCTTGTCCTCTCCGCTCGTTTTCTCTTGTTCTATTTCACTGTGGCTCCGATTTATGCAGAATCTGAGATGTCCTCCACCCAGGAAGATATGCAATATTCCTTGTCATAGTTTAAGCACAGGCGGGATGTGGGGCATAGTCACAGACACATTAAAACTCTTCCCTCAGAAATTTCTTCACATAAAAGCACAATCGCTCTCTTTATAAACACATACATGCATGTGCACAAACACACAAACACATTGAAATCCACCCGGTGCTCTCTCGGCCCAAGGTTAGTGCAGATTAAAAGATGTGTCATTGATGGAAGAGGCTCCTCCTCCCTCCACGGCCTGTCACAGCGTGTTTGGGAACAACCCACTTCATTTTAGCAGCATAATGGGTAAACAGAGTGTGATCAGTCCAATTACCCCCTCATTGCAGAGGCGTTCTGGCGGGAATGGCCTGCAGAGAGAGTGAGCTGTCTGGCGTGAGGTGGAGTTTCAACAGTAGCACCTGCTGCCCGCAGCCCTCACTTGTATGAATCTCAATTTGTTTGTACAGCCGTGCCAAAAAACGGTGACCAAGAAGTGAGGCCTCTGAGGAGGATGGTTCTGCCGGCTAGCCTTCTGATTGCTGTTTTCACTGCGCTGTCTGAGGGTGCAATGGACTTGCGTCAGTGTAGGTCTTTTCAGTGGATTGTTTTGCGCTTTGGTTCCTGCTGTGCAGCATTCAAGGACGGTGAATATTCGTATTCCCCACACTACACTATGTTTTACAGCTCAAAAGATGCGCGCTTTTGCAGCAGAGAGTTCATCCCCAGTACAGTAACAAGCGGCAGTCCTCCATAGGAATTCTGAAAATGTGCGTGATGTGGCTTAACCTGTTTTCAGATACTGTGTACACAATCAAATGAAGAGGAAGATGAAGAGGAAGACAGGTCATTTTGCAGCACAGGAGTAGTGACCTTTCACTTTTCTCTTAACTAATAGTCAGGACTACTTGACATGTTCATGCAAGTGTAGAGGTTCGCACTCAGTATCTTCAGGTCCTGGATTGGTTTAACTTTGGCAGATAGGAGTAATTGCTCTCATTTTATCTCAAAATATATCTAACATCTTCCCTCACATTACAAGAACAGATCTGGTTCTTGTTCCTGTTCTTGTGATGTAAATATGTACTTGTCGTCCTTGAGGAAGATGGAAATCCTTCTCTTTATGACTCTCCCTTGGGATATCAAAAAAATCTAATGCCTGTTTTAGCTCCTTATCACAAGGCATCATAATAAGTTTTCCCAAATCAAAAAATAAGGCTTTTTTAAAACAAGATTGGCATGCAATTTCTGCAACAACTGACAGAGAGCTCTGTCAGCAGGAAATAGGAATTGCCATTCAGGATTCATTTGGCTCCACTAATTGAAACTAATACCTCTCAAATAGCATATTGATTTGGGGAAAGCTCAATTTTTCCAAACATGCACTGTAAAAATGAAGGAATAATATGAAATGTGAAAGTACCAAGATTAAAAAAAAACAGTTGTTGGGGGTTTGTTGCCTGTGTGACACCACAAGTCATGAAGATGACAGCAAACATATGATAGTGTGACTTCAAAGCTCCTCTTGTATCCTGGGCTGTTGTGCTGTAGAAGGCCTCAGGCGCACTGTATTAGTGGCCTTATTAAATAAAAAAGACTTACAGTGTCAAATACAGGTGGAAAATACTGCAACTCTGCAGCTCTGCACATCAAAACGAAATAAATAACACGTCTGGATCTGTATCAGGAAGTCCATCTGAATTTCCCCAAATTGTACTCCCACACATGTGCACGCACGTGCACACAGCTGACAGGTGTTGATTGATGCAAGCAAGTGATTTTTTTCCTTTTCTGTCGTTTTAAAGCAAAAAAAAAAAGAGAAAAGAAATGTTGCCACAGCGTGAACACTATTCAGCAAAACCCACATTACTTTCTCTGTCAACCGCGCTGCTCAATCAAGAGCTGTTTAGGATAACTTTTATAGGTTTACATAAAAAGCCTGAGACCTTACAGAATAAAAACTCTGACGTCCCAGGCAGTAATAAGACTGAGGAATATTTTCAATATGACTCTGGGTGACTCCAATATTTTAAAGCCGTTTTTTTTTTTTTTTTTTTTTTTTTTTTGAACAGCCTCGTGAACAATGAGCTCGATCTGTTCCTGCAGTCACTCTCCGTCGGCGCGTTCGCCTGATGCGCAGCGCCTCCCCAACTGTTCCCTCACTTTGACAAATTCCTGGACGTGAGCGGGTCTGCAGAATGGCTTCTTGCTTGTAAAGATGATGCCTTGAATATTTTAGAAGTTGAATAGCTCTGCCACATCTTTTCCCTCCCCTGATAGACTATCCGTTTGGAAGAACACGATGGGACTGTGGTCATTTTGGAGTTTTTCTCTTTTGGCTTTCGTGTTGCTCTGCCTCTTTCACTCTAAGTTTTTGGCTCAAGCGGAAATAAGTTCACCCAGAGCAAACGACAGATTTTATCGCGTGGAGGTTATGCAGCTGGAAGCACGTGTAACCCGAAAATCAGAGGAGGACAAAATCTCACCCAAAGACGACAATTGCACAAAAGTTTTTAACGCTTTTGCAACGGATGCTGTCGGTGCTTTGAAAAATGGCAAGCAAGTGGGAACTGAAACACAGAGCGGACCGACTGGCATCGAAACGGCACCAAACTATAACAGTCGTCTCAAAATACCTATTAAGAAGTATGATAACATTTCCGAGGACATCCAAATGCGACCTGCAGCGACTGTTTCTCCAAGAAGAAAGGCAAAAAGGAGTGTGGGTCCAACATACAGCGAAAATGTGGATAGGAGTATAAGTGGAGAAGCGCAGTCAGGAGAGAGGTTTGTGGAGAATGTGCAAGGTGTTTCCAACTCCAGAGCCGAGTACCGGCGCACCGGGGAAGAAGCCAGAGGGTCTAACCCGAGACAAAGTGAGCCTCACCTGGACACTTCTACCTTTGCTCTGTCGGGAGACTCGGCGCACAACCAGGCGATGGTGCACTGGTCTGGACACAACAGCAGCGTGAGTTTAAGTTTCGCAAAAAAAACGTACACTTCATCATATCATAGACGTTTTAGAGAACACGAAAATGCCCCAAACATTGGCGATAATGTTTATTATTTTTTATTTCTTACTGAATTGCAAATTATGAAAATGTTTTATTACATTTACATGAATCTGTCTCATTTTTACGCACAGCTGTTTCAGCGCGCACGAGAGCAATTCGTTCCTACACATGAATTATTTCAGTCTTTCACAGACTTGAATTGAACAGCGCGTTTGCTCTTTTCACATTCATGGTTATGTTTTCTGTTGTTGCCTCCACAGAGCTTATGACTGTATGCGCATTACGCGCCTGCCTGTCCTGATGGACATGGCTGTGCACTTGCAGGATTCCCTCTTGCCTTTTCAAACTAGAGTAGGCACATTTATTACAACAAACTGTTTCCCACCTGAACTTTAAATTAACAGTTAACCTCCTCCCAGGTAAATTAAGGTGACACTGAGTTATGGGAAGGTGCAGGCATTTTGGCAGCAATCACAACACATTAATTATTTATGAAATAATCAAGTAATGTCTCTCAGGAAGGTGCAGTAGCTACAATTAAAACGGATTGTGTTCAACCTGGCCCTTAATGTGACGCTGATGAGACACAGTCTGACCTTTTGGCAAATGAGCCATGCCTTTGTCATTGACATTTGACTCACATAGTTCATAGTTATCTAATTGCCTGGATGGACACAGCATTTCAACATGTTTGTTGTTGAGATGAGATGGTGATGGTGCCATGCTTTGCACTTCGAAACAGGCTGATGGGAATGTGCACAACTTAAATGGATGACAAGACATTGCAGCAACCACCAAGACCACCCTCTCCACCCTCACACACAGGCACACACACACACACACACACACACACACACATACACACACACACACACACACACACACACACACACACATCACATCACATTACAGCTGCACGCACACTCCGTGGTTGCACACCCATTTACCATCACAAAGACAAAGCCACGGAGATTTTATCTCTTATTTTACATATACAGCATGCCAAAGTGTTTGCAAGCACCAGCACTTATCAGGCACAAATATCTTAAAACTACAAACAGCCTTGTACAAAAGAAAAGAGCTACTCTGGCTTTTTACCTCAGGATATTCAGATCACCTTATATGCTAGGCAAAAGGGTGTGTGGTAGTAACATTTTAAGATTTGTGTGTCCCAGAAACTGAGAATATTCATACATTATGAAAAAAGGCAGATATATTCCACAGGATGGATTATATGAAATATATTTTCTTATCTGGTACATTTTCTGTTTGGCAATGTGTCATAACGTTAGAGGCAACACAGACTTTGGCCACGTTGATGTATCGTCGTAGACATTCTTTACACAAATACACCAGAAATGTACCTAATAAAGTCTGATTTGTTGGATGTATCGTGAAATATGTTGTTGGTTTGAGATGTCTTCACCATCGATGGCCTTTTGTTCTGCAGGACACTGTTCACTTGATCATCACTGATGGGCTTGTCACTGCAGCCAGTCAACAGTTTTGATTTATACAGTCTGACTCCCTGTCTGTGGTCCCAAAAGTACGACTGAAACTGCAGAGTTTAAATTGATGGCATTTTATGACTAGATGTTAGAGCTCAGGCTATATTAGATGTAAATGACTGATAATAAATCCAATCTAAAAGGGACATTTGAAGGAAAATTACTTCATTCCTGTGGTATAGGGTAGTTCTATCAAATATTCACCTCAAGACTTTGCCTGTGATCTGGCCAAGATGTAAAATCCCACAGGGACTGAAAGGAGAAAGATGTAAAAGGTGATGGTGAAAGTGCCAGTAGGGGATGTTCAGAGTTCAGATTTGATAAAAGAATTTCAAACCTCAAATCTGTCCACAAATCTGTCTCCAGACTAATATTCGATTTCTGTGATTGTCTGAGACCTCAAAGCCTGGAGTCATAGTTCTCTGAGAGATAACATTGATTGGACTCAACCATGGGAATAAAACATATACTGCATGAATACCCCTAAAAATTCATACTACTTAACTACATGTACTATTGATTGACTGTGCATGTTTCTCTTTAAAATCTGCCCTGAATGTGAATCGGGATGGAGATATAAAGATTTGTGATTCATAATGAATTGTAGCAAAAATATAGAAACAAATACAAATGAAACTTATTCGAAAAAAATACTAATAAATACACTTGGCTGGGGATATCCTGTATGGCAAATAAATTTTTCAGTCTTTTGCCTCACATGGGTGTTCAAGCTGTGATATGACTATGTTGGTAATCTTTTTAAACAGCCATTGCAGCACATTCTACACTCAAGGGATGTGGAGCCCCCTCCCACCCTCCCCGAAGGCAAAAGTCTTAGTGTGAGAGCCAGCTGGTGATCAGGGAGTTATTGGCAGCCAAATGATTTTGGGCTCCTGATTGACCATTTTTGCAAACTCCTCACAGACAGCTGACCAAACTAGGACACCACGTTGAAGCTGAGGACAGTTAATGAGCATCTTTATTGACATCGTATCCCCTGAGCTTCTGCTGCAGAAATGATACTGTATGTTGGTGTAAATGATGTCCATGTACCATGAGAATAAGGGTCTGGTCATTGGCCCGCTATTAGAAGCTTTGTTTAGGAGGGGCAGGACACTGATGAGGCCAGCTATTCTTCTTGGCCATGGAGGAAATCTCTCTGGCTTTTTGTTTGGTTTGTTCTAAGGTGGCGACAGTCAAACCAATCTGTCAGCTCTGTTACATCGTCTTTTCATGCGGCAACTGACTGGGAATCAGACAGGCCTCATGGGCCGCGTTGTCCACATGCTTAATCAGAATGAGGCAGTTATTGTTGCACATAATCTCATCGGCATAAATAGACAATAAAATAGAGGAAATGGCACGGCCCTGGGGGACACGTGTTTAAAACTGGTTCATTAGATAGACAGCCATTCCATTTAACATGCCGGAGCTGGTTGCATAGAAACTCCTTGATCCATAAAATCAAATGGAATTGGTTCCCAGTTCACAGAGGCATTTGACCAGAGTTTGTGGGTGTTACCAGATGATGAGAAGTGCATTAAAAAGCTACCACTGTTGAGGTGGTAATATACAACAAAGGGAAAAGTTTCACTGTGGTATTTGTTTATCTTATAATTTCCCACATTTCTCTTTTATATTCTACACAGCAACTGCTTTTTTTTAGTTTTGCGGTTATAATTTTGGTTAAGATCCCCTTTAAAGGTCCCATATTGTAGAAAGTGAGATTTGCATGTCCTTATTTATTATAGAGCAGGTCTTGGTGCTGTAGAAATACTGGGAAAGTATATATGCAGAGAAATACACACAGCCCATATTCAGAAACTCTGCCTTAAAACGAGCCGTCAGGACTTCCGTAATTTTGTGATGTCACAGCCCTCAGCCACACCTCCACTTTATTAACAACAAAACATGAAACAGTCATTCCATCACTGAGCTAGCACGCTACAAGACAAAAAAATGTTGAGGAAATGTTGCACCATCAGTGGATGTTAGGAAGCCAGTATATAATTGCAAAGCCTTCCCTAGGATCGTAATATTAAAGACCTGTGACTAAGGTTCATCCTACTACTATAATTGGAGAGTGGGCGGTCTGTGTATGTATCTGACTGTCCGTGTAAGTGCTCCTCTAGGAAAAATTTTGAAGGAACCTATTTCTTAATGAGGTGTTTGAAACGATACCAAGTTTTCCTGGTTCTTTTTTCCCTTGCACATTCACTGTGTGATATATGGTAATACTGTGAAGAGTAGAGTCCGTCTTATTTCTTATTGGTTAGACTCAGCAGATTTTTTTTTGTCCTTCTCCCTATTGTTACACCGCTTCACCATCCACATTTATGTGCCCCACCCAACCAAAAAAAAAGCCCAGCCCCCACCCCTCTCTCACTCTGCCTCCATTGCGCACGCTTCAAATGTCCAAGGACGCTGTGATGGCCTCTGTCTTCCATCTGTCTGCCTGTGATGAACATATTTCAAACAAGGAAATCTGTTGATGCTCCCATCAGGAAGTGTAAACATTAGATTTCAGTGTAGGCAGAGATAACTGGTTAGGTTTAGGATGGGGTTAAGTATTATAAGAATGGTTAGGGTGGCTAAGCTAAGGTTAGGTTAAGGTTAAGGTCATGGGAAACAGACCTAATTTCCCCCATAATCTTCTCCTGAGCATGGGACTCTTAACGCCAATCAGAAAGTAAAGGGCTCATCCCCCACCCCCACTCAACCAATACCTTAAGGTGGATGTATTGCAGGACTATTGTATTAGACTGCATTAGATGGGCTACTTTTTCTAAAATACTAGAGCATTTTAGTCTGAATGTGACCGTCTGTTCGGCTCATTTCAGCACCAACTGACAGTCGCCATTTGCACTTAGGCCACAGTCTGGTTGGACTGGCTGTGCATCACTCAGAAAACAGTCAACCAATCAGAAGAGAGGCTCAGAGATACAGAACACCCTGTTCTTGCTCCAGGGGGAAGCCTGAGAGAGGTGATGTAAAACTATATTAATGTGATTTTTGGTACTTAAAACCACAAATATATCTTCTTATGGATATCAAAACTTCAAATAAAACACAGTAAAAGTGTAAAATATGGGACCTTTAATAGAAAAGTCACATGAGTCACAGTCAAAAGAGGCTAATATGTGACCTTATAAAACCTTTTATTCATACACCTTTCCTGATCCTCTGGCCCCCTTGTTGCTGGGTAAGGAGATTTTGATCCATGATAGGCTACATATGATGAAAATCAAAAGTGGTGGAAGTTTTAACATTTCAGTATGTATTGTTTTCTTCCTGTGACACATGTTGTATTCGAATATTTAGCAGCACCTCATCACTTGGAAATGTTTAAAAAAAGTATTTTTCTAGATGTTTTGTGTATATTACTATTAATACACAATCTGATTTTAGCTGATTGTCAGTTAAGTTTCAGATTTTTTTTATTTCAA